AGTAGTTCGTTCGTGACTTGTTTGGCTATGTTTAGTGGTATGGATGTGAAAAGTATTAAACAAAATACACAACAAACCACAAACTGAAAAACCTAACGAAGATACAGACGAACCAGTAAAAATAGTGACATTACCATAAATAAACGGAACATCAGAAATGACATCAAGACTACTCTTACAAAGTAACGACAAACCTCTGCCTCAAAAGATCAGTCACACTTAACAACGAAGAACAAAAAGCTATCAGAAACTTACGAAACGAAGAAGGCATAGTCATACTACCAGCCGACAAAGGACGCAAAACTGTAATCATGGGCAAATCAGACTACATCAACAAAGCGACGACCCTCTTACAAGACACCAACACGTATGAGCCTCTACAAACAGACCCCAACAAAACCACTACCAACCGCATCAACAAGAAATTAAAACAACTAAAAGACAAAAAGAAACTTAATGAAACCGTCTAAAAAAGAGTCCGACCCAACGACTCCTCCACCGCCAAACTATATGGACTACCAAAGATTCACAAAGAAAACAACCCGCTACGACCAATTGTATCTCTTCCTGGATCTCCCACGTATGAACTATCAAAATATCTTTCTAATATTCTGCACCCACTAGTAAAATCATCACATCATACTATCAAAAATGCCACAACTTTCCTCACCAATATTAAAAATGTAAAACTAAAACCAGACGAAATCATGATATCTTACGATGTAGTGTCACTTTTTATATCCATACCACTAAACATAGCCAAACAAGTCACAAACGAACTACTTACTAACAACAACTCATGGAAAATCAAAACCGAACTAGACCAAGACGATATCATCGATCTGCTCGAGCTCTGCCTCTCCACTGAATTCTCCTTCCAAAATTCATATTAACGACAAATCTCAGGAACACCAATGGGTTCTCCTTTATCCACCTTCCTTGCAGAAGCTGTTATGCAACACCATGAAAAGCAGTCAGTAATGAAAAACGCACACATCAGACTATGGAGAAGATTTGTTGACGACATCTTTGCTATCGTCAAAAAAGACAAAACAGAACACATTCTACACACAATAAACAACACCACACAGAACATAACCTTCACCATGGACAAAGAACTGAACAAACAACTTACCTTCCTAGATATTCTACTTACCAGATCACATGACGGCACATTAAACACACAAGTATTCCGCAAAAATACACACACAGACCAAATACTCAACTTTAATAGCAATCACCCAACACAACACAAAATTAGTTGCATACGAACTCTCTTTAAGAGGACTAAAACACACTGCAATACAGAAGAAGCCAAGAAGAATGAACGCAACTACTTATACACTACATTCATAAACAACAATTACCCACGAAACTTTACCAACAAAGTATTAAACAAAATACACAACAAACCACAAACTGAAAAACCTAACGAAGATACAGACGAACCAGTAAAAATAGTGACATTACCATAAATAAACGGAACATCAGAAATGACATCAAGACTACTCTTACAAAGTAACGACAAACCTCTGCCTCAAAAGATCAGTCACACTTAACAACGAAGAACAAAAAGCTATCAGAAACTTACGAAACGAAGAAGGCATAGTCATACTACCAGCCGACAAAGGACGCAAAACTGTAATCATGGGCAAATCAGACTACATCAACAAAGCGACGACCCTCTTACAAGACACCAACACGTATGAGCCTCTACAAACAGACCCCAACAAAACCACTACCAACCGCATCAACAAGAAATTAAAACAACTAAAAGACAAAAAGAAACTTAATGAAACCGTCTAAAAAAGAGTCCGACCCAACGACTCCTCCACCGCCAAACTATATGGACTACCAAAGATTCACAAAGAAAACAACCCGCTACGACCAATTGTATCTCTTCCTGGATCTCCCACGTATGAACTATCAAAATATCTTTCTAATATTCTGCACCCACTAGTAAAATCATCACATCATACTATCAAAAATGCCACAACTTTCCTCACCAATATTAAAAATGTAAAACTAAAACCAGACGAAATCATGATATCTTACGATGTAGTGTCACTTTTTATATCCATACCACTAAACATAGCCAAACAAGTCACAAACGAACTACTTACTAACAACAACTCATGGAAAATCAAAACCGAACTAGACCAAGACGATATCATCGATCTGCTCGAGCTCTGCCTCTCCACTGAATTCTCCTTCCAAAATTCATATTAACGACAAATCTCAGGAACACCAATGGGTTCTCCTTTATCCACCTTCCTTGCAGAAGCTGTTATGCAACACCATGAAAAGCAGTCAGTAATGAAAAACGCACACATCAGACTATGGAGAAGATTTGTTGACGACATCTTTGCTATCGTCAAAAAAGACAAAACAGAACACATTCTACACACAATAAACAACACCACACAGAACATAACCTTCACCATGGACAAAGAACTGAACAAACAACTTACCTTCCTAGATATTCTACTTACCAGATCACATGACGGCACATTAAACACACAAGTATTCCGCAAAAATACACACACAGACCAAATACTCAACTTTAATAGCAATCACCCAACACAACACAAAATTAGTTGCATACGAACTCTCTTTAAGAGGACTAAAACACACTGCAATACAGAAGAAGCCAAGAAGAATGAACGCAACTACTTATACACTACATTCATAAACAACAATTACCCACGAAACTTTATCAACAAAGTATTAAACAAAATACACAACAAACCACAAACTGAAAAACCTAACGATAGTAAAAATAGTGACATTACCATATATAAACGGAACATCAGAAATGACATCAAGACTACTCCGACCATTCAAAATAAACATCGCACATAAACCAACACACAAACTCAAATCATACTTCACTAAACATAAAGACCGAACAACGACATTCGACACAACCAACGCGGTCTACATGATACCATGTAAAGATTGCCCCAAACAGTACATAGGACAAACATCCAAGAAAATTAAAACAAGACTCACTGATTACAAGAATGCCATCAAACGACGCAACCCAAAATCACTACCAGCAGAACATACCTACGATACCAACCACACATTTGACTGGACAAAAACACAACTTCTTGGACGCGCACAGACAAAACACGCACGAGAATTCAAAGAGGCATGGTACAGCAAAGACAACAACACAATTAACAGACATATTGACATCCCCATCATCTATTCACAAATAAAGACAAAACCAAAACAACAAACTAATAACACAACGACTAAAATAAAACACTCGAATTTCATTAACGTAATCGATACACCCGATACCATGACAACGCATCTTATACCATCCAATAATATCAACTCAACTACTAACCAACCAATCAGACGCTCCAAACGCCTACAAAATCTTTGTAAATAATATATTGTCACATTCTGACGAAGGCTCGAAGCACCAAGTTGAAAGCTTAATAAAAAATTTAAAACAAATCCAGAGAATCCTTATCATTATCATATATATATATATATATATATATATATATATATATATATATATATATATATATATATATATATATATCAAAGTGTATTACAATGTGCCCTCCCGGCTATCACCATAATAAAATGGTGACTCCTGCACTTGGGACACAGGACGTACGGTTACACATTGTATGGATTGTATTGTAGAGTCACCAGAGCTCTCAAACCTGTACTTCTTGTGTCCCGCGTGTCATTAAGATTGGATTTCCTTAACGACGCGAACTTGTGAGTTCACTACCTATACTTTCAAAAAAAAATGGCCTCCTTAAAAAAAACAAGAAATGCTATAGCTGTTGCGTATGACGCCGCTTTGATAAACGAAGAAGAATTTGCGCTTTTGTATGATATTTCGCGTACAAAGTACCCAGAATTAAAACATGGCGACTATTCATCTTTTGATTTGGAGGAAATTGATGAAGTTACATGTGCTGTAGACTTTCGTTTTAAGAAACACGAAATTCCTTTGCTGGCTGAAGCGTTAGATTTTCCTCATCGTTTCAAATGTAAACAATGAACAGTTTGTGATGGGCTGGAAGCTCTCTGCCTTGTCCTTCGTCGGTTTGCTTATCCATGTAGATTCAGTGATCTTGTACCGCAGTTTGGCAGGTCTGTTCCAGAACTCAGCATGATCATGAATACCGCTGTTGACTACATTTTTGACAGGTATGGGTACAAAATAACCTGTTGGAATCACCAGTTGCTCAGCCCAGAAAATCTGAAGATTTATGCTGAAACCATGCATCAAAAAGGAGCAGCTCTTGATAATTGCTTTGGTTTCATTAATGGGACAGTAAGGCAGATTTGTAGACCAGGTGAAATGCAGCGAATAGTGTACAATGGTCACAAGAGGGTCCATGCTCTTAAGTTCCAATCAGTTACACTTCCAAATGGAATAATTGAAACATGTTTGGACCAATAGGTAAATGCAATGTCAAGGGTAAATTCTGTTGAAAAACAAACTGAGTTATTTTTCTTTTAGAAGGAAGAAGGCAAGATTCTGCCATGCTGGCTGAATCAGGACTTCTGAATGACCTTGAAGAGTTTGCTCATTGGAATGGAAAACCCATGTGCCTATATGGAGATCCCGCATATCCTCTGTGCATTCATTTGCAAGCACCATACCGAAACCTACCACTAACCATGCCAATGGAAGAATTCAATAAGTCAATGAGTGCTGTGAGAATATCAGTGAGGTGGATTTTTGGTGACATTATAAACTACTTTAAATTCCTTGATTTTAAGAAGAATCTAAAAATTAGCTTAAGTTCTGTGGGCAAAATGTATATAGTCGCATCACTGCTTAGAAATGCTCCAACTTGTCTTCAATCAAATATGACAAGTGATTTTTTTCAGTTGGAGCCCCCCTCTCTTCAAACGTATTTCTCATAATTTTTTTGTGAATATTTCTTGTTTCTCATACATTGTAATTACAAATTATTTTATTTGCCTGAAATTTCTGTTAAAAAAACATGATTAGTTCATTTGTCAGCAATTTTTGATAAAAGAGCTACTAGGGCTTGTGATAGTTGTTGCTGTTGTTGAACCAGTAGCATTTGATTTGCTTGAATTTGCTGGTTTTGTTGCCTTTGCAATTCAATCATGTTTTGCAGCAACTGATTTTGTTTCTCCATGAATTGCTGTTGACTTTCTTTCTCATTCTGTATTTGCAGCCTTTGCATTTCTATTTTCTCTCTTTCCAATTTTAAGCTTTCCTCTCTTAATTTTCTTTCTTTCTCCCACTTTTCTCTTAGAAACTCTAAAGTAGAATATCCTCCTTTCCTAACTTTTTTTCTAGCACCACCTTGCTCGCTTTCATTTCGCTTCCTGGTTTCGGATAGATTTTCCATAGCCCTTCTCCTTATCTCCTCTGCTGCTTCTTTGTCTGCATTATTTTTTCTTCATTCAGCAGCTGTAGCCTCAGCATGAATAACATCACTAGCTTTTTCTCTAAGATGAATTTCTTCAAGTAAATCATCCAGCTCAGTTGCTTCTGGAGAAATGCCACTTGCATTTATTTCTTCCCTTTCTTTCTTGCAATAGTTTGCAAGCAATTTTCGTACTCTGTGTCTTACTGCACGCTGGTCAACACGAATGCACAGTTGATCATGTTGCCCTAACTTCTTAGCAACGGCTTCCCACACCTTTCCTCTTTCAAGGGATTTTTTTCTTGTTTCAAAAAGTCTTGACAAAACAACGGCTTTGCACAGTTCGACATTATACTTTGCTGTCCACTTCATAACAAAACTGATTCTAAAACAATTTAGAAATATATAGTGGCCAAAATTGATATATGAGTACTCGTTGCATAGTATTTTTAAGCAAGCATAAAAGGGGAACACAAACCGTTATTACAAAGTAAGACAAATTTTAAAGCCACTGGATGTTAATTTAGCTAAACAATTAATTTAACTCACGGTGAATTTCGTGGTGTACTTGATGAGCAATCACTTGATGCGGATGAAAACTGTTCTGCCATTTTCTTGCCTTGCTAAAAGCAAAAATGTAAACATATTTTAATCACAGATAAATATCAACACATCAATCACATACCAGACTCCACAGACAATTGTAACAGGTGAATTAAAAGCTGAATACTTACTTTAAAACTTTTTTGTGAAAAATTCCACCTTCGATGTAGTACGACGTGGGATTAAGCATAGACGCCGCGTAGTAGAAGCACGACAAAACACAACGACGCACGCACATGCGCATTGGTTTAAAATTCATTTCCGCTCGCGTTGTAAATGAGCGCGTCGTCAAATCTTAAGGTCACTAGTATTACATTAAGTACGTTAGTAAGTGTTTATTACGATGGCGGCATGCGGAAATGAGTTCTTTTCGTTTATTGAGTGAGCTGAGTTCTGGGTGGAAGATGATGAAGAATTTCTCCAAGAGGCATAAATTACAGCATTTGGTTTTGTTTGAGTAAGGTTGTGATTTCTTTACAATTTTCCAGTTGATGGTGTATGGTGTGTTAGAGTCATAGGCGTACGGGGGGGTGGGCTGGGGGGGCTGCAGCCCCCCCAATTTCTCGAGAATTTGTGTATTCGGGCAAGCATTTACATGATATTCTGGCAAGATACTTACTACAGTTTTTAAATTTTCAATATTAATCTACATCATTTCTAGATCATAAACTGCTTCGGTTCTTGAGCGTGAACGGTCTTTTAATGGATGGTTTTTAAATTGTTTAAATTACTTAAATTTCAGGAGGTAAAATAAAAAATCGCGTAAAGTGATTGGGTGCAAAATTTTTCTTGAGACATAATAGGAGAATTTTACATCCGCCCCATTATAATATAAACAAATTACGTCACGAGAAATCGGTCTATTTACTAGCGATATTGCGACGAATATATTCGGTGTTTACAACTTTTAAACGAACACGAACGCCGATATTTTCAATCAGAGCAAAGCTTTTGGTATTAAATTTATCCACATAACGTTCTCCATTTATAAAAAAGGGCTGAGGTCAGTAAAAGTCTTGAAATGTCTTGAAATTGCGAAAAATCGTCTCCCCACACGCTATCCGTTATACATTAATATATAGATTAACAATCGCTGCGATCCCCAAAAGTGATTTTTAATTTTGCATGAAAATTAGGCTTCGTATGGAGAGGCACTGTCCATTCCATTGATTAGATTAGTGCCATTCACTCTATGATTGTTGTTCAAGGAAACTATTATCCACAAGGGGAAAACATTTAGTAGCCAAGCTCTAATAAAGCGTACATATGGCGTCTCGTAAACGACCGTATCGACATCGCGTTTGGTGCGAGGAATGCAGCAAGGAAATTGACAGTGATTATAAGGAGGTCCACTTTCGACGAGTTCACAATAATGAAAAAGTTAAGTGTCATCGAGTGATGGATTCATCGGATTTATCGCAGTCAAAGATCAGTGGTTTCTTTGTAAAAAGTAACATGACAACCAAGGATGATAACCTAACCTTACAGGAAACAGAATCGAGTGCTAGTAAAGATTTAGCAGCCACTGGGTCTTTTGAGGAAAATCTACCTGAGATTAATTTGAAGGAGCCCATAAGCGAAGACCAAACGGAACCAATGAGAACGTTTATTGATGTTGATGAATTAAATCCACTGACGCAGTTCAGAGAAAATAAAGAATTGAATACGGTCACGGATAATGAAAATCTTACTTCCAGTGACGCACTGTTCATCGAAGAATTTAACTTAAATCAAAATATACAACGCGTTGCAACACCAGAATCAACGACGACGTCTAACACTCTAGACACAACAGCAATACAAGATTTAGATTCAACAGCATCTGTTCTAAATGAACAGACTAGAAAGGTTTCCCTTAACAGTATGAATGAAGAAGAGATTTCCACCTTGCACGCCCCAAAACAGCCTATATTAGGTGAATATCCTGCACGAAAATTCGGCAGTGAAACATTTGTGCGACGATTTCAGCCTGAATGGTACAAGAAATATCCATGGATTAGTTACGAAGTGGATAAAGATGCATGCGTTTGTTTTGCCTGTAAAGAATTTGGGAAGAATACTTCATTTGTGCTTACAAATTGGAAGAAGTCGTCAAAGCTGGCAAAACATGGCAAGAGTGAGAACCACGTCAGATCCATGACAAGATGGCTCCAGTTTAAAGCAATGGAAAGAAAGAAAACCTCCGTACTACAACAGCTGAATAGTGCACACCAGGACCAGGTTGCTATTAACAGACAATACTTAAAAGTAATCATACAATCTTTGATGTACACTGCACAACAAAATGTTGCAATTAGAGGTCATGAAGAGATTCGGGGTGATATATGGGAGATATCTGATATAAATAGAGGAAACTTTCTCGAGTTACTTTGCATAAGATGCAACGATTTGCCTTGGCTGAAATCTAAACTTCAAAGCCAGCTGCAGACACATGCTCAGTGGACATCCCCTGCTATTCAAAATGAACTACTGGAAATAGTAGCAAGTGTCATGCTTGAGAGGATAGCAGAAGAAGCAAGAAGTAGCGACTACTACGGAATAGTTGTCGATGAAACGGCAGACATCAGTCGAACAGAGCAATTATCTCTTTTCCTCAGATATGTTTTCAATGGCGAAACCAAAGAGACATTCACTGGTTTCTATTCAACCAAATCTACGGAAGGAGAAGTATTGTATGAGCTGTTAAAGACAGCCATTGGCAGGCTAGAGTTGACATTGGAAAACATTGTCGCAGAATGCTTTGATGGCGCTGCAAATATGAGTGGCCCTCGCAAAGGACTTGCTGCACGCATGAAGGAGTGCTCACCTCTTAGCATCTATGTTCACTGCCATGGGCATCGGCTTAACTTGGCGCTACAAGATACGATGACTACAATTGAGCCACTTCAGAAAGCTTTAGGTGTGATCCAGAGTCTCCATAATTTCTTGGAAGGAAGTCCCAAACGCCACTCCATCTTCAATGACATCAAGGTCGAAGATGAGGACGAAGATATTACACTGACTATTAAATCGCAGAGTGCTACTAGATGGTCTTGTCGTTGGGCAGCTGTAAAGCAGTAGTAAACCAATTACCTAAGATCATCGAGGTTCTCCTTACACTCTCAAAAGATCGCGATCCGAAGACCTACAATGACAGCAATTCGCTACTTAACTCGATTTGCGACTTTCGGTTCGTTTTTGGTTTGATGGTATTAAAGGTTATTTTATCTAACACCGATGGTTTGAGCAGGTACCTACAAGGAAAGCAAATGGATGTCGCCACAGCAAAGAAGAGTGTTGATGGCGTGATTAAGACATTAATTGGATGTCGTTCCCTCGAAAATTTCGAACTGTTATGGTCACGGGCTGAAATCATAGCACACAAAATTAAGGAGCAAATTGAAGGTACAGAATTCAATTTCAAAGATGCAAAAGTACCAAGATTCCAACAGCCGTCACGGCGGCTCCAAGCTCTCGTCGGTGAAATGGCTGAAGTAAATGCAGAAGTGGAAAATCGAACAGAAAAGATTACTATCGTATCACATGCTACTACCTAAGCATTGACAAGATTGTGGCGGAGATGAAATCAAGATTTGAAGGTAGTGATCAAGAGGTCCTATTGGCACTTGCAGATATTGTGTTCAACAGGTCTCCAACCACGGCGAATGTTGAGTTGGTATCACACTTCTATGGTATCGACAGTGAGCTTCTTAGTAGCGAGAAAAATGTCTTTGAGAATATTGACGTTGATTTCCCTTGTGCTGAGAGAGAAAACGCTGCCAAAATTGTTAAGAGAATGTTCGAAAATGGTGTTCATGAAGTCCTGCCTGTGGCTTACAAAGTATTTTCGATTCTGGCCGCGATCCCGGCAACATCCTGCTCAGCAGAAAGATCTTTTAGCGCTCTTCGTCGCTTAAAACCTATCTTCGAAGTACAATTGGTCAAAACGGTTAAACAGCATTGCCCTAATCAATGTGGAAAGAGCCTATGCAAATAGTACTTTAAAGAACGACATGGAAAAGATAATTAACATTTTTGGACAGCGACGTAATCGTAAATCTTATTTCTTTTAGTCTTAGATCGTCGCACATTTAACTAACTAAATTTCTTCTGCGTCTAGTGTTATATATGACAAAATTTCAAATATCAAATAAAATGTAGTTACTTTCGTAGCATCCTCTTAGCAAATTGTAATGATTTTAGCTTATTAATTGAGATGGCCAGAGACAACATAAGAATATCTATGACGTCATACGTCATATGACGTCATATAATTCGGGCAAATTTAGTCCAGCTCCCCCTAAAAATATGTGCCCGTACGCCTATGGTTAGAGTCTTTTAGTTTCCCTATGTGTTTGCTAAGTTCTGTGGAGTGTTGTTTTGATTTATTTCGGAATGAGCTGGTGTGGTTCAAGTAGCGTGTTTTAAAAGTGTTCTCCGTTAGGCCGATGTAGGTTTCTTTGTGTTTGGTTAGTGTGTTGGTGACTGTGGCTTGGTAGACTACCCCTTTGGTTTGGCATTCTCCTTTTAGTGGGCATTCCTCTTTCTTCCGGCATTTGCATTTTCTGTCTGTGGTGGCGTTTTTCATCGTTTCTTCTTTAGTTAAAACAGTCTTATTGTGTGTAAAAATTATTGTATCAATGTTTGGCATGCAACTGTAACTTAGCTTAAGTATGTTTGTGTTGAAGATTTTGCTGAGTGGATGTTTTTTTTGGAAAGGACCTGTTGATTATACTAAGGAACTTGTGTCCGATGTCTGTGTGGACATTGGAGTTGTATGGTGGGTTGTACCAGGTGATGTTTCCTTTTCTGTTTCTGTTTTTTGACTTGGGTAGTCAAAAAGATGGTAAAAAATTGTATTAATTATATATATATATATATATTTAATCCTTATCATTATCATATATATATATATATATATATATATATATATATATATATATACGAAATGTTATCACTTGTTCAGAATACTAACTTGCAAAATTCAACCTCCCCCTTCCAAAACAATCTACGCCAAGATATGAACAAGATCAAGAAAGATAATATGCTATTTGTGCCAGCCGATAAAACAACTAACATTTACCACATCAATCCAGACACATACCAACAGCTGCTCCAAAGTAACATAACCAAAAACTACAAGAAAGCTTCACCCGACGCAAAAACCGAAATCATTAGAGAAGAGATATCAATAGAGAAAGAACTCAAGCTCGAATGCAGAATCAACGCTCTAGCCGAGAAAGATTGCTTCATCACACTAAAAGACCACAAATCAAACTTCAACAACAACCCGACATCGCGACTCATCAATCCAACAAAATCCGAGATTGGCATCATCAGTAAAAAGATTCTCGAAAGGATCAATAACAAAATAATAGCACACACCGGCGTAAAACAATGGCAAAGCAGTGGCTCAGTGATTGAATGTTTCAAAAGCATCCCCAAGAAGCGCTCACAATCATTCATTAGCTTTGACGTCGTTAATTTCTACTCCTCATTGTCAGATGACCTTCTACCCAAAGCCCTGGAATTTTCTTCCGAATTTGTAGAAGTCACAAAGAAAGACAAGCGCATAATTATACAAGCTAAGAATTCCCTATTATTCAACAGACCTGAAGCATGGCGCAAAAAAGGCAGCAGCTCAAATTTCGACGTAACAATGGGTAGCTTTGACGGAGCGGAAACATGCCAGTTGGTAGGCTCATTTCTCCTCTCAAAACTCCCTACCGACTACAGAAATAACATTGGTTTATTTCGCGACGATGGCCTCGGTGCATTCAATGCTCCCCCCAAGACGATAGAAAAAATCAAGAAAAACTGTGCCGAATATTCAACGAAAACCACCTGAAATTAAACATTGAAGCAAATAAGAAATCCGTGAACTTCCTTGACATCACCTTTGATTTACGATCTGACTCCTTTAAGCCATGCAACAAACCTGGAAACATTCCTCAATACATAAGCATTCACAGCAACCACCCCCCATCTATCCTACGCAGAATCCCGGAAACCATCAACCAGCGGCTCTCAAGAATCTCATCTACCAAGCAATCTTTCGACTCAAGCATACACCCATACCAAGAAGCACTAAAAAAGCGGCTTTAACTACAAATTACAATACAACCCACAAACAACACGAAAGTCAAAAAACAGAAACAGAAGTAAAAACATCACATGGTACAATCCACCATACAACTCCAATGTCCACACAGACATCGGACACAAGTTCCTTAGTATAATCAACAGGTCCTTTCCAAAAAACCATCCACTCAGCAAAATCTTCAACAGAAACACACTTAAGCTAAGTTAGAGTTGCATGCCAAACATCGATACAATAATTTCTGCACACAATAAGACCGTTTTAACCAAAGAAGAAACGATGAAAAACGCCCCTACAGACAGAAAATGCAACTGCCGGAAGAAAGAGGAATGCCCACTAAAAGGAGAATGCCAAACCAAATGGGTAGTCTACCAGGCCACAGTCACCAACACACTGACCAAACACAAATAAACCTACATCGGTCTAACGGAGAACACTTTTAAAACACGCTACTTGAACCACACCAGCTCATTCCGAAATAAATCAAAACAACACTCCACAGAACTCAGCAAACACATATGGAAACTAAAAGACTCTATCATGGAAGTCCGTCGCGAAGCGAGGATGACGTCAGTGGCACCTCATATGGGGTGAGGCGTACTGATTCCTAGGCATGTAATATCCTAGTAGCGTGCGCTGCCCAAGACTCCCCTCTCGGCCTGTACTATGTAGTCAAAAGGAACACATAGTGCTACAGTTTGGAATCGCTTCGGCTGCAGGAGCTGCCAGAAAGATGACAGGGTATGTCAGCAGACTACCTTTGGGCCCAACTTCGGATTTCTGTCAGGTTTACTCCTTAGCCTTTTCATCTCCCGAAGATGCCCACAAGGCAGTGGGACCATTTATCCATGGATGGAGCACACTTGGACATTGGGTCACTCCTGTGGACCCTCGTCCCTCACCGTTGGCTGCCTGTCGCTGCACGTCCGCCCAGTTGTGCAGTGTAAACACCACCCAATGGCATGGTTTAGCCCGCCTGCTGAGACGATGACCGGGGCATGGCGCTTGGAGCCACATGTGAGAGACTTAGGAATGATTGGGACCAGTGATGTCCGTCCACCCTACTGGGTAGAGTGCAGCAGCCCGACACCAAAGGTGATACCCTTCCTCAGAGCCCCAATGCCTAAAAAGACACTAACACACAATATACCATCAACTGGAAAATTGTAAAGAAGTCACGAACTTACTAAAACAAAACCAAACGCTGTAATTTATGCCTCTCGGAGAAATTCTTCGTCATCTTCCACCCAGAACTCAGTTCGCTCAATAAACGAAACGAACTCATTTCCGCATGCCGCCATCGTAATAAACACTTACTAACGTCATTAGTGTAATACTATATCACCTAAACACTTAATTATTCATCTTAGTGTATAAGTTCCATTGTTCTATAGTGATATATTTACTCTCCTGACAAGTGTGGCAAGTTAAATAACTGCCATACGAAACAGCTAAAGGGAATAAATTTCGATGAAGTAATTCGTGGTTTATTTTATTTTCAATTATATATATATATATATACATTCATTAAATCCCCTGAAGAGTGAGCAATCACAAAACAGGCTTGTCGGGATGAATCTGTAGTCCTGTGATTTTTCTTTACACCACTACACATATTTACGCTCTGCTCTCGGGCATCGAGCATTGTTTTATACGGAAAATCATAAATTATAAACTTCCTATATATATATATCTTTGATGGTGCCCCTTTGGTTTTTCCAGTTGATGGTGCCCCTTTGGTTCAGTGCCAAACCAAAGGGGTAGTCTACCAAGCCACAGTCACCAGCAGACTAACCAAACACAAAGAAACCTACATCGGTCTAACGGAGAACACTTTTAAAACACGCTACTTGAACCACACCAGCTCATTCCGAAATAAATCAAAACAACACTCCCTAGAACTCAGCAAACACATATGGAAACTAAAAGACTCTAACACACCATACACCATCAACTGGAAAATTGTAAAGAAATCACAACCCTACTCAAACAAACCAAACGCTGTAATTTATGCCTCTCGGAGAAATTCTTCGTCATCTTCCACCCAAAACTCAGCTCGCTAAATAAACGAAACGAACTTATTTCCGCATGCCGCCATCGTAATAAACACTTACTAACGTCATTAATGTAATACTATATCACTTAATTATTCATCGTTGTGTATAAGTTCCGTTGTGCTATATTTATTCTCCTGACGAGTGTGGCAAGTTAAACAACTGCCATACGAAACAGTTCTGTAGGGAATAAATTCCTATGAAGTAACTCGTGGTTTATTTTATTTTCAATTATATATATATATAAATTTGAAAATTAGTAAATTGTAATCCAGGCATTTAATACATAAAAGGTAAAGTTTCTCCGGATTTTAAATGATTTTTATTGAGCTTTCGACTCCTTGCTTCGAGCCTTCATCAGAATGAGGATATTATTTATTTATACGTGCTGTTAGCTTGGAGACGTTAAGTGCGTCTAATTTGATTAGTGGGTGGAGGAATGTGATTGGATTCTGTGAGTCTTGTCTCAATTTTCTTGAAATGTTGAGCAGTTGAGCAATGCATGATTTCAACCATGAACTACTTATAATATAACACGTAATGTCCAAACATTGTATATTTGGACATGTATAAAAACACTAATAACGAATGTTCAAAACGCTAGTGATATATCTTAATGTTAAAATTAAATGTTCATTCCAGTAGCGCGTTCAAGTGGGCAAACACAGAAATAAAGACTACCCGAGGACTCTGTATTAACTTCTTTCCAACATTCTCTTACGAAAAGTTCATAGTTGATTTCATATAGGAAATTGGAATTTCTATTCTACTCGCGCGACCCGCGACGTTTTATCCGCGTCCTGCGACAGTTAGATACACTCATTCCAATATATTCGCTTATGCAAATGTTACGCTACGCACGATTGATTTTAACAATACAATAAAACATCGAAGGAGTATTAAAGAACTATAGCAAATTTTTGGATACTGTACGCATATAGTTTATTTTCATTCTGTGAAGAACAACCAGAAATCACTGCAGAACAAAAACGCTTATTTGTGAACAAAACAGCACCACAAGGAATGGTATGTCCACTTTATACTTCAAATTACACCTTTTCAAAATATGGCGGATATTATATAAACAGTTAAGCTTTGAGTATATTATTTGTAGCAGATTTTGACTAAAATTACATTCATTTACGTTAAACAATTGCAAATCAGAACAGATCGGACCAGAGGTACTTCAACATTTTACAACAGAAGAAGAAATCATATTTTCAACTGATATGAATGCGACTTGTATTAATTAAATTTTGTGAGTTGTCAAAAATCACAGTGCTTAAAATGCTATAAGATAGCAGTGACCTAGCATGCTTGCTAAAATTTGAATATCAGAGTGCACCGAACAGCACTGTTCATTGTTGTATCTTTAGAAATTAAACATGAATTACCTGAATTAACTGAAATAAAACATGAATTATTTGAGGTTGGACTGTAAGTCCGTTTTGTTGTCAGTTAGAACAAAGAATTGAGATGACATGCGCATGCTTGTAGCTTAGTCACTTTTTAAAGTGATGTCGACTGTGAAGCATTGTGGCTAAAATACATGGAATGCTACCTGTAATAAAAAAGCCTAAGAATTTTTCGAAGCTAAATCTTACAACCAAACACGCAAGATTACACCCAGACACGCGTGCTTATTCCAATCCCCCCGGAGAAAGAGCAATGAAAATCAAGGTAAAAACCTAAAATTCGTAACTCGATTCAACAGTGGTTTTCAGGTATCGTCTCACAGTAACAAAAGGACTAGTTCAGCCCCAAAAATGGAGCCAAAATATTGACCGCAGCACCGCCGCATAATTTAGGGCCGATTTTCACTATTTAAGGAGGGGCCGATTTTGGCCCCTTTTTTCCATGTTTACCCCAAAACTTGGCTGAAACAGCCAAGTTAAGAGGAGCAGTTTAGTCCCATAGCGAGCTATTTTTCCTCTTTTGTCCATTTTAGTTTTCACTCCCATTATATCATCAAATCGGCCATGTCTAAAAAGCAGCCCCGTGCCGAGAAAGAAATGAAACTACTGAAAGTTGCAATTATTAAGACTTGTATACTATACATAAGGACATAACTGTTTGACATCTTCATTAAGACGCTTTACATGCACATACTTTCTTTCTCAAATGAAACTTCACAAAGGAAAATCGAAATAAAACATAATGTATATAACCATGTGTATGCATCATTAGTTAAACACATTTGATAGCACTCCTACTAGACTTTTCACAGAAGATATAGACATTTCTCTGCAATAATTCTCATTAAAATCATATCAAGAAAGCTAGACATTCTTGCCCTCTAAACATTGTACATTGTATGTATGGTAAGTGGCCAAAAAAACAACCTGAGCATCACTCGTCTTTTTTTTTTTGTTATAATGCACAAAACTTTCTCCTCTGCAACAACATATACAATATCTCTTTGATAGAGGTTAAAAAAAGCGTGGTTCTATGATAGAAAGGCATAGCACACAATTTATAAAATTAGCTTGAGACTGTACAATAATTTCTTAATAGCCTATACTTTCATTTGGGTGCACAAGATACACAAGTAATGTGAGAAACAAAAATGGAGTAAGATACATGGTTATACTCATTTTATAGTAAAGATCTAGTGCAAGTCTTACCTTATCAATTTTGAATAACAGCTTCTTTATTAACATATGTCGGTACCTTTCTGTTGGGCTGCTTGAACACATCTTAAGCAATTTTGATAGCGGTATAAACATAAAAACTATAAAGTTTTTACAATAACGTTAATCAGGGGCTGACCTAGAGTAGGTCAAATCCGTCGCGCGACTGATGTTTGATATTCAAAAATTACCTATTCATATTAATTAAAAATTCATTAATTATTCTTACTTTATTATCGTATTTACTTAGTGATAAAAATCCAGCTTTATTTATTATTGAAAACTAATGACTAATCCAATGAATATCTCCTTGGTAACCAGATCAGTTGAATTTTAATTGACCTGGAATAACCGACTGATACCGGGGTGGCTTGACTGGTTCGACTGATAAAGGAGTCTGAACGCCAGAAACGCTATTTTATTGGTCAATGGCCAGATCAGTGGACAGTCCGGAATGGTCTTCACTGATAAGGGGGGTGGCCGGACGTATAAGAGAGTCCAATTGCTATCTTTCAATTAGATAATTTGAATTTTTGTTTTATTGTGATTGGTTTGACGGATTTAAAAATTTATGGATAAATTGTAAATGCTTGGTAGAGACGATCTCGCGAGCGACATTTCAGTCATTGATGTTCAAAAGCAAGCCAACATTATTTTGAGTTTTATCAGCAGAAATTTACATCCAAAATCGTAAGTAAAGGACAACTGAAGTGTATGCATGAATGTAATTTATCAAAGTCAATTTATGCGAGTGTGTTTTGCAATTTATGTTAATATGGCGTATGGTAAGCAGATTGATGCTTCCTTTAAAATTGTTGTTGCCGAAGGACTTTTAGCTATGATTTCTTTAGTGCTTGGGGAATGGTGGCCGTTATATGGCAGCGAAATCCTACATTTCTGCAAATATATTTCAATTGACAAAAAATCTGTAGCCATAAGGCGCCATACTATTATTTACTTTATCATTAACAAATCTTTGGGGCTTTTCAGTTTATGATCATTGATCATTCAATCATTGGACAGTTATACTACATATTGTTTAAGATTTGAGAAAACTAACATTGATTACATGAGAAGCTGTTTACTATAAACTGTGATTTTGAGTCTTCTGATGCATGAAGCTTTTTATTTTGACAATTTGACTGGAATGGTATTAAACCTGAGTATTTCACATACATGAAATGTTGTCCCATGTCACATATTGTCCCCTTTTCTAACTGAACACCTCATGTAGAGATGTAAAGGTGTGTTAATCTATGGCTTATAACAGATTGCTTGCCATAAATTCCAAAGAGCTATTGATGTATGAAAAGCATTTTCTATTAAGTAAGAATGTCTTTCTTTGTATGCAGATAAACTTTGAAATTTGGCAAAACAACAAAGTATTTTTCATGATCATTATGTAATTTTTCTGATGATCATTATAATTTCTAAACTAAATTATTTCAGACTTACATTTAAACGAGCTTTGATCGTATGAAAAGATATTTATCATAACCAATAAGCATGACATATGAACCAATTTTAACATTCATTTAATTATATAAAGACATGTTGCTTACATTCTGTATGTATTTGCAAATGCAATGCTACTAGTGATTGCTATATAGCACACCTTGCATATACTTACAGAAAATAATAGTCTAGTGAAATGCTTAATTAACATTAACGGCATTAAGCTGTCCTTAATTGCAAATTCTCACTCTGATAATTTTTGCTTAATCTTTGGCAGAAAAAGAATTTCAGTTGTTTCTCAAAAGGTGAATTTGCTGGCCCTGATGTGGAGATGGGTAAAGGGTTACAATAAACTTGCATGGTTAGAAGTCTGAGCTTTTCTATATCTATGAACTGTCATTTGTTGTACCAAATTTCTAACTTAACTCATTACATAGAGGTTTGAATGGGGGTCTCTAGGGGGGTCTATGCCTGACAACTTGGTAGAAATTTTTAAACACTGTATCTATTTTTGAATAGCATTATTGTAAAATAAATTTAACGTTCCTAGACATGCTAATGGGCCATATATTTGACATGATAATGATCCTAAATATTTGGCAAAACATTCAAGTATTGTTCACTTCATTTTTTTGGAAATAAACGTAAGCAAAACGTGTTGTTTTTACGCAAAAACGATGCCCACAAAATACATTTTGTATTGCTCTAAAACGCTGAAAATGGCAAATTCAAGGATGTGAAACTCAAAATTTCTCAGGGATGAATGCCCCAGACCCCCCAGTCGTAGAGCGCCTCCGACGTCTTATGACTGATGTTTCAAAAATCCTAGATCCGCCCCTGAGGTTGATACTTTAAGTGCTCACGTCACGTACCATACCAGAAATTTTAGACCAAACTTCAATAGCAGCACGCTTTCGTATTAAAGTCATGAACATATCACAGAACTCTGCCCAATATTGGAAACAATTTCCCATCAATCTTTGCATCTGAGAATTAAAAACGTATGTTATCTTTGTCGACACATTGCAAAACCTAGTTGCAAGCTTGTAACAAAAAACCCTTTTTCAATATTAATTAATCATCGAATGCTCTCGCTTCAAGCTTGAGTGTCTGCACTTACGTTAAGTAAGCTATACTATAAGCCAATTTTTTCAAAGCATTTCTGAATGATTAATAAACTAGCACATCATTGCTCGTGATATTTCAATGCACAGGCTTGGATAAATAGAATAACACGTTTATCATCACGTGAAAGCACACGTGATCTTTGCCCGACCTTGGTCAATGTCTAGCCTTGATATAATGCTAAGACTTCAAAAGAGCGGTAGTTTATACAAAACATACCAGTGAAATAGGCAAAGTATTTTTATCATGTTATTTTTATATATTACTTTAGGGAAAATAAACGTTTCATTCATCTGCGATATAAATTTAGTTTTTTTCTTTTACAATTAGTATAATTGAGAAACTGCTTGATTAAAATCTCGGAAAACAGTGTATATTGTTTACCCTCAATCGGCATTTTTCTTTCGAATAAACAACGTCGATCTCAAGTAAGCAAAACACACTGTTTTCCTCGGTGTTAAACATAAGAAGCCTTCAATATATTAGAAATGTCTTGAAAAATTCAAAGATCACTGTAGGATTGCCAACTACTGTGAACTTGAAGCTTTAATTATGTCTACTCGATCCGCGTTTTAAATATCTTTTTAATCCAACGAATATCTTTATGTAAAAGCTGTAGAATATTTAAGCTTACAATGGCTCACACAAAGTTTCTTTAGTGTATAAACTTATGTCTTAAATCAACTTGGTAGAAATGTTCCTCAGAATCTTAAAATTTAGCAATGTCTTTTGTGTATATATGAGGCTTTAAAGTTCACTTGTGCTTTATCTTAAAAAAAAACCCAAGCAAACACAGCTAAATAATCTCAAAGGGGTACAGCAATAACTCTTACTAAAATTTTTGGCGAACTAAATATCAAATTTTCGTCGTACTATTTGATTTAGTTTGTTCAAACGCTATTTAAACGGTTAAAATGGCCAAAAAGGCATTCTTAAAGACAATACCTGACATATACTGCAAAGACAATACCTGCTGTACACTCCTATAATTCAATCACTTTCAAAACCAAAACAAATAAAGAGAATGGTCTTATCCAAAATCTCTTTACTTTGAATTACAATACAATATTATTTTTCTTGAAATATTATAAACATCTACGGTCGTCCTCACAGTGAAAACAGCAATCGAAACATGCGTGCAGCATGAAGTAGTTTGCCGCCATATATAATTGAGTCACCCGATTCTATGCAGTCATCAAGTTGCTCTCGAACCAATTTGGCACCAATTGTAGAGCAAAAACAACCGTCATGAAATCAAAGGTCGCTCTTTATGGAGGGTGATCTCCGCCAAAATTAAAAGCCATATTTTCAATTTCTAATGCGCATTTTGTCTTGTGCAATGTGCATTTTGTCTTGATCATATTCCATTCTGGAATTTCAAAATTGGATTTTGCCCTTTACAATTTCCGTTAAAGTCCTTTTTTTTGTTGAACATTCCGTTATGATGACGTAACATTATTCGTGACTCGCGAAGCATCAAATTTTACTCGATCAAATTATAACTTATTTATAATTATTTACCTCCAAAAATTGTTAATATCAATAAATTATACTGTTCCTTTGAAAAATCGAGAGGCAGCAGCTTTACTTCGCCGAGCGGCAAATTTACTGAATCAAGACTCTCTGGATCAGCAAGTCTTAGAACTTCATCGACTGATCAAGATTGCAATCTTGCCGATCATGGAGCTGCTCAACATGTCCAATCGTCAACACTTGACAGCACATTGCAAGAACAACATCTGACTTCGTCATCTAAGGTTCAAGATCAATATCATCTTGTTCAATAAGAGTAGGAGTTCAGGCGTTGTTCGCACCGTATAATCGAGCTAACAATGGAAAGATGTTTCTCATCCACCAGGAAAACGTGGTCGATCTAATTCGTGGGGACAACAAGGTCGGTGTTACAAACCACAAGAGACTTTGACTCAAGGTTTTTTTTTGCCTGGCAAACCATGAGCAAGATTGTGTGCATACTAGAATGGAAAAAGTTAAATTACAAAAAGCTGATCTTGGACGTAGACGTATTTCTTTCCATAAAAATTCAAATGCAGCCAAAGTGGAGGTAAAATTAGAAGAGATCTACCCCCGGCTGGTATCAGGCGGTGGTTTTGCGATATTAAGGAGTGCTTTATCACCCAAAGATTTGTATCTTATTACCCCTCCACTAAATATTGGACAATCTGTCCACTTTCTTCGTGATAGTTCTGGCTTAGGGCAGGCAATTGCATATATTAGATCCATTCAAGCTGATCTAGATTCCTAATGCTTGGAAACGAATGATCACGCTTATGCAGGAGATCCTCCAGAAAACAAGGTAATGTATTCATCGCTTTGAGTAATTTAAGTGATAATTTATTATACAGGAAATATTATACGTATACATACATTGTTTTGCTAGGTATATCTATTGCAACAACAGGAAATGCTAAAATTGTTCAGTCCAGATTCCAATGAATTCAATCAGGAATCATATGATTGAATGTGGATTGGACAATCACCATAAACAGTCAAGATCAATGTATGATATAAGCTTGCATTAATTCCTATTACACACTCACTATAAAAATGTCACACTGTTTTTTGTTTACCTACTTATCTTGAAAATTGAATAAATAAGTTTTTATCAGGCAAATTTTTCTGGAATTAATTCACCATTATTGTCTAAACTGCACGAAATGTTTCCTGACCTTCATGATACTGCCAAAGAAGAAGCTATAAGAGTCTGTGAGGGAGACGTTGAAGTGGCAGTTTCATCATTGTTGGATGGCAGTAAGTACTTATGTCATTATATAAAGTTCCATGTATGGGATTATCAATATATTTTGGTCGTAGCATAGAGTACGTTAAGGCTGAATAGCGGTGTGAAAAGACAAATATTTTGTTTTTAATTTTTTTTAATAACTACCTCCAGATAATGAATGAATAAATGTGCATATACATGTAAATGCTGTTGATAGCGCAGACTAAGATTTAGAAAATCTTCAACTGGCAACAGAAGTTCGTCTGCAAGAAGGTACGAAGAAATTAATAGGTACGTACATGCTGCAAAACATTCATAAATGCATCTTAATTGCAGCATTTATCTTAATTTTTTTCAAAAGAAACGAGTTGTAAATGATTTGATATAGTTTTCTTGATTGGTTAAAAATGATGCTTTGCTTCATGCATGGCTTTTAGCTTGTTGTTTTAACTGGCATTATGCTCTTGCAGCACAATTTGGTCTCAATATAAATAAAGTTGAGCATGCTTATTGTGATTTTAGCATGTTGTATTTAGGTGTAGAAGTTGTATTATTGGTAAGCTTAGTCTAGCAAATACTTGCTGGGCTGTATTGCTACAATGATCACTTGACTGGTTTTATATTTAAGAACAAAAGAAGACAGTCATTGAAGAGTATCGAGATGCTACAATTGTCAGTGACAGGCCAGTTTTTCGAGTTTATATCAACCGCATGGTTAGTGACTGCCAATGGCATCTTGGGGATTTACAAAAATCACAGTAATAAGTTTTGTGCTCAGTTCAGTGTAAAGTTTGAAAATGAAACTTCAGTTGGCAGTGGTCCTATGCCATAATTTTTCAGCCTAGTAATGAAAACGATTCTTGACGGTTTTCCACTGGATGGTGATGAAAAGCCTAAAACTCTTGTTTTTGAAGGAGAAAATGACCATTAAGTTCCTGTAGCCAACTCACTATTGAGAAGTACAGGCTTCTATAAGTGCATTGGAAGAATTATTGCACATTCTTTCTAACATCAATTGATCTACTTGATGGAACAAATAGTAGTAAGTGTTTTGGTAGAAAGATGCAGGGAAGGTTTTAATTGGTTGTGTATGTGTTTTTTGTATGTATGTCTTTTTTGTATGAATATGGTTTGCACCACAACTGATTATATATTATATGTTGGAGCAGCAGCAAGTTTATCTGTTTGAACAATGTCGTTGTCAGTAATATTTTCTTGCTTTTAAATTTGACCTTTGCTTCGAGGTCAGCAATAAAATCCAAAATAAATTTGCAAAGGAGTTTTACAAAGTATAACATGTCTGCCATGTTTTAGGGTTGTAGACCTGTTGGTAAAACAATTGATTTATTTTGTTTTCATTATAAACGCATGAAGAAAGTATATTATAAATAAATTATAATGTGATCGATTAAAATTTGATGTTTTGCAAGTCACGAATAATGTTACGTCATCATAATGAAATGTTCATTAACAAAATGCTATTTAACGGAATTGTACAGGACAAAATCCGATTATGAAATTCCAGAATGAAATATGATCAAGACAAAATGCACATTGCTAAGGACAAAATGCGCATTAGTAATTGAATAATGTGGCTATTAATTTTGGATGATATCACCCTCCATAGCTCTTGTCTGTTTTAGCGTTGATTGTTGGCCAATATGGTTAGCGATTTGAAAATCTAAAACAACCTCATGCTGCTAAAATGGCCCATATCTTTCTATTTTGGCACAAATCGTAGAGCAAAGACAACCGTCACTGTGCCAACACGCCCCTTTAATGTTAGCTAACATGGCTAGCAATTTCAAAAGCCAAAACGACATCATGGGATTAAATGCCAAGTTGTTTTTACTGTGCTCCTACGATGATTCGTTTAATAACTGTCAACGATGGAGCTATGTTTCAGCTACCTATGAACTCAGATGTGCGTCTTTTTATTACCAGCGTGAAACATGTTTGCTCGATTTAACTCTTTAGTCTATCAAAAAAGTATATCCAGTTTATCTCAACGGTTCGAGAGAGAAACTAGCATAATGGCTATCATTATTTTTTGCTTCTTTTTATGCAATGGGCAGTGTTATTTTTTCGGGCTAGAATTGTAGGATTTGTACTTATTGCCTTATTGCTGCCACTCCTCAGCGTGTTAAGACATGGCCTAGTCTTTCGCCGGACCTATATATTGGTGAAATCTTGATTTAATTTTGTCTCTCAGTCTGTCTGTCAGTTTATTTATTTTTCTTTTTGGGGGGGGGTTGAAGGTTCGAGGAGGAGCGCACAATCACAACAAAGTAGAATCTTGCTGAGCGTCTTGTTTGATTTTTATGTTTGGAATTTGATTAGATATACCGAAAACAACGTAATTTCAATACTGTAAATGCTAAACTCGCCTGAGTGATAACCAACATCAATTTTATCTTGTTTTACGAACACAAAACATGACTCACCGTGCCGTTTTACGAGTCCGGTGCTTATATATTCCCATTATTTGTACACTCTTGTCACAGTGCTCGGGTTAGGAAAATATGGTATTGGTATGGATTTAACAAAACGTCAAGAATAACAAAGAATTTAAAGGAATGGTGCAAGTATAGAAATGGCATGGACAAACTGCAATGACTACGTAGTCTGCACATTTGAAGATTAAATATCGTTTAATTGCCATCGGCACAGAATCACGGGCGATAACGTCATATCAAAATTTTATTGACAAAATAGTGTCGAGAAAAAATAGTTGTATGATATCTTTGTTTTGTTAATATCGTCTGATTTTACGTATTTAAACTTGTAAACATGCGTTCGATTTATCGGTCGAGTAAAGAAAGTATACTACACTTCAAAAAAGTTTTATATTAGTACGATATGTTAAGATATGATTGTTATTTCAAAAATATTGTTTTGATTCAAAATAATAAAGAGTTCATCTTTAAATTAGTAAAATGAAATAAGTTTATAAGCACGGAAGAATTTAAGTCGGAAATTGATTGCTGGCTTTCCGAGCGTTTGTTATCGTTTCTTCCAAGCAGAGGAGCACTCATCATAAGGTCAACGGTAGATTGCATTATTTGCATGTGGTACGTTGATTAGATTAAAGAAAGCTGTGTAAACATAGCAAAGCGCAAAACTCAAAAGCACTAACTTCGTAAGACTTGTCTTAGATTCCGTTTACAGTAGGACTAAAGTTTTTTGGATTCATCGCAAATATGTGATATTTTTGTTGAATTTATAAGAAAATGGGAATTTTGAAGCCGAAAAAGTTTGTGGAATTGTTGTATCCGAAAACTTTTCATCTTCCTAAAATCTGCGTGTAAACGGAAAGCCGGACGAATCCGAATCACTGAGTTCTATAAGACATGGAGGGAAAAAGGGGCCTGAACCCAGTGGTCAAAACATGGCAGTAATGGCGGATTTTGGTTGCCAAAACTTCCACTTTGACAAAAAGTTTTAACATTCGCTCCCTCCGGAAACCGGATTTCTGTTACTGTTTATATTAATGACAACAAGCGAAAGCAACCACGATACCGTAAACATAAAATTTTGAAAATAATGCTTTAGGTTTTTGTGAAATAGACACACACATTTAAATGAGGAAAATCTACGAATAAATAACGCATATTTTGTCAAGTATTGCTTTAGCCATATTAGAAATAAATATCAAACGGCATTTTTTACACTGTCAATGTGTTGTTAAGCTTTAATGCATAATTCCATGCGCAATACTTGTGTTTTTGACTGCTTATGAACAGCTTGGTACAACTGTCCTTCTTAAATAGGTGGGTAAATCTTAGTTAAAATGTCCAAAAAGGAGTTAGAAAAAGTTAGCTTACCCTTACGACTTAAATCCACTGGAAGTAGGTATGTAATTTTTTTGAGTTTTTTTTGGTAGGATTGATTCTGGGTGTGTTACAAGGAATTATGATATTCTGATATATCTACTGAGAACTTATGAAGAAAATATCTTGAAATAGGAGAGCAAAAGAATGAAATTCAGAAATTCTATAATCATTTTGCTGGTTCTGTTTTGAGCGAAGATACTAGAAACTGGATTGTCATTGACAACCATGGATCTACTACTGAACAGAACTTACATTAATTTCCCATTGAAAATACGATTTCCTTAATTAACGTGCAATGGTTTCTCTGACGTAACACTTTTCTTATTGCTTCATTAAGGCAAACCTGTTAAATAATTATAATGTAGGTGAAGATATTTAGCATGTTGTATAATTGTTAATGTACAGTCATTATTTGTAATATTATGGCCTTGTGTAATGTATGTAAAGAAGAACGTATTAATTCTCAAAAATGCTAACCTTCTTACACTACTTTTCTTTTGTGTCCTTACAAATTACAGTTACCTATACTATTTTTTTTCTAGGTTCAAACAACTTGACAAACTTTTGAATTTTACATTATGCCTTTGAATTTTCGTTTTTGTCTTTTGGTAAATATATCAGCGAATGACTTAAAAATCTAGTTTATCTATAATATTATTTTGTACAAAAAAACTATACATAATTGGAAAACTCTAATGTTGAAGACACTTGTCACTCGTTTCACTAGATTGCTGTTCTTATTCTTTTATATAATATCGTAATTCTTCATAAGACATAAAAAGTTCTTTGCCATCTATTTTTGCTTCTTCCACATTTAACTTCATTGCAACCAATGCATCTTATGGGAATTTTTAATCACCTGAAATTGAAAGACGTATGGATTTTGTCACATGATGCAGTACTATATTTAATGTTTCATGCATGTCATCCTAAACTTTTCTTGAGCAAATATTTCAAGGTAGGAGCATAATTTGCACATTATTGAGAAAAGTACTTTTAATCTTGATCTGGATGTATTAACCTGTTTACTAGAACAAACATTTCATTTACAGAAACACCCGATAGCATTTATAAAACTTTTAGCATAAAGCAAACCTTTAAACACCTTCATCATGACTAGCTGTTATCAAGGCTAGCTGTTTAATACAGGTATTTTTTATTGTACAACATGTACCAAAAAGTTCATTAATTAACCCTACACTGCATTTGATTTCAATACTTGTTCTTAATATTTGCTTCATATTTTCAGAAAAAAATCATGTAAACTCCTCCATTTCTTGAAGGTAAACTCATTTTAAACAAGAGTTTTAAGATATGCATATCTCGATAAGAATTTGTTGCTTTGCGTCGTCTAGGAAGCGTTTAAGTAAAAAACAAATAAGACTGGATAAACATAACTTAAATTAAAACTTAGGAGTAAAAACATTCAAAGTATATACCATTACACTTCAAGTAGTGACTTAAAACAAAAAACTGAACACTTTACATAGTAAACAATCCTACTAAAGTAAATTGTTTGAACCAGGGAGTATCGTTACATGTCTGTAAATGATGGTTTCTCCAAGTTAATAAATTTTATTAAACTGGACGATCATCATTTACAACCATGTAACAATCTTACGTTGCTTACCGGTGTCATGAAATGTTCCCTTTTCTGGCATTACTTCAGCATCCTTATACCAAACAAGCTTGCAGCATGTTTTAAAGATAAAATTTCTAAAAGTTTTTGTGCTTGGCATTTATATTTTATATAATCGCAATTGTGGTTGTCAAATATGTGTCGCGAAAATATTTATTGTTATTTTATGAGCCCGCGTCTTTCCGCTGACTTTGACAGCCAAATTCTGCCATGTTTTTAACAACACGGCCGCGTGCTAATAATTTATTGTAAATTAGTTGACATTTCCCCTCCAGGTCTTATAGAACTCAATGATCCGAATACAAAAAATTCAAGGTGGCGGATAACACAGGAGTGAATGAAAATGATATAATGAAATAGCAGTTCGATGTCGTTCTCAGACCAGACTAAATTATGCGCTTGTTCTCTTTCTTGAGTAGAGTGAGTCTTTGCTTTCTTTTTAGGAGGCATACTTGATACAATAAAAAATTTATAAGCTGCATTAACCACACAACATGCAACTGTAAACGACACGCTTAAGACTCAAAAAACAACAAATCCGGATACTTTAGTGAATCCAGGACAATACTGTATGTGTAACAGATTCTTACAGTATTTTATTGAACATATTTGCAAAATATGCCAGAACACAAAGTCACGTTAGTATGCGGTGCACAAAGACGTGGGTGTCCGACGGTACCTTTTATTTTGCAAGTAAATTGTTAAAGTAAAGATTTCATACATTAAAAGATAGCAGAAAAGTATTCTGAGTTGTTAAAAAACAGAAAAAAAACCGAGTATATTTATCGTTGAAGTCAGTCTTAAAAAATACGATTACTGGTTTTATGGTTTTCAAGTGTATAATCGCTATTTAATCTTTTTTGAACGAAGAAAAGAAGCACCTCTAAAAGTGAGTTGCTCCTTTCGTGGAAATTGCTAAGTCCAGCAAGTAAAAAATAGAATTTCTGGCATTATAAAATTCTATATAATTGACCATAGTCGTCATTGACCAAATCAGGGAGGAGCGATATGGCTTTTTCTGCAAAACGATCATTTCAGCCATAATAGGTCATTAGGCATCCACGTTTTTGACAACTTCGCCACAGTCCACTTAGCCCATTCATTTATTATAGATCTCAATGATGTACTCTTGCATATCTGGGTGTAAGATATGCCCTCAATTATTTACTTCAGGTAGCGTTCCATAAATTTTGGTTCAAAGGTGTGGACTGAATTATAGAAAGAATGATTACCCCTAATTGCATCAAGGGCGGTTAATGCTAACCTAGGGTTGAATATGCCCAACCTAGGTTTAAGTTTTTACCCTAGGTTAGTTTGCGATGCTCAAAACTAGGTTATTTTTAAACCCTCCGTTAAAACAAGATTTACATTTAAATCTTCTTGCATGGTGGGTCAAATTACTTAATTAACAATAGGTTAACATATTATTTTCGCAAATAAATCAATTATGATAAATTTTGCTCTTCATCCCCCGTGTAACTTATCCACATAGCAAAACACAATATCGTCTGTGCGTGGAGTAAATACTAGCGGTTTTTACTACGGTGAGCTAAGGACAATGTCTAGATATGGCAGAAAAAAAATAACTTGTAATACAAATCAGCTTCCTCAATATTTAGTTAGGAGATGAAGTAAAAAGCTTTACATCAACAAGTAGTAATTGCTTTGAGATGCTTTGCTTCGTACAGGTTGTTCGAGATAATCGAATTTTGAAAAGTCTGGAACCATAAGCGTATTGGCTGTATGACAATGGGAATCACCTTTTACGCTTGGGCAATAAAAAAAACGCTAAACAACGTTAATTGAATCTAGTTATATAGAAGTTATATTACAGGATTTGGGTAGTTTAAAGGATTTTTAAGTACTTAGCATCTGTTAACACAAATTACCATTTTATTTTATTTGTTTACATGTCTTTCTATGCTATAGAGCGACTGAAACGTTCACTGATTTATTTGTATATTTGTTATTGTCTCAGATCTTTAAGAAATCATTGTCATTTTTTGGAATCGGATAACCGAACATCATATTTTTCTGAGTTTTCATTATACATAAGTATGCATGGCAACATCAATCAATCTGACCATGAAACACGAATGAATACGATATATATGCCATGTTTGATTTGAAGTTAAGATACTAGATGTTGTTTGTGCTAAAACGGCTGGTATTCTAAACAGATTTTATACTGCTCATGCATATTTAAAATGCTATTTTTACTATATATTCTGTAACGATTCGAGGAAGCTGAAGTGCAGAGCTTCGCTGCGTATCCTAATTAAATCTTGAAGAAGCAAATTTGTTACACCGTTTTTTTCATTTCTGACGAATCTATTTCTGGCATTTAGCTCACTGTCATAAAAACCTTCAGCAATTTGTCTAATTGAACGATTTTGTCTTCTGCAACGAAGATAATTTACACGTGAAACGAAGAGCAAATATATACTTCTTATATTAGAAAGATGAAAAAATGAAGATGAATCAAGTTATTGTTACAACACATTTTGCTATCTTAAGTCGGGCATAAGGTGTAGCTTTGTTTTAAGTAAACATTAATATTCATACTTTAGTTCTGATTTTAAAAAGGAACAATATCACAACCCAGAAACAGTAAAATTGATATCGAGGGATTTACGATTTTAAAATTTTCAGTTTAAGATCCAATTTTACATCAGAATACAGGTCATTTTGCAAATACAAAGTTTTCTTCTTATCAATGAGAACTGTTTTCACTCTCAGTAAAGATACCAAAAAAGTTTAAAGCAAAACAATTTACAACAATCATTGATTGGTCAACTTGTATTTCCATTTGTTTCACATCATTTATCCCTTTAACTGGTAGTGTAGTTGATGGAGAGAAAAACAACAAACTGAATGGTGTACAGACTTCTCATAAAGTTTTCCAAAAAACGCGTTAGAGTTTATAGAGTTTTATTTACCCGAAGACTAATCGTATTGCAACTATAATACTTTTTTTAGAAGAAGAGAGAAATGTTCATTTTTACTGCTACTGGAATGGCAGCCTTTCTAATAGTGCTTCAATTTCATTATTACAGAAATTTAAAAGGTATTAATATTTATATGTCTAGTTTGTGTAATTTCAATTTCAACTTCAAGCTTGAAATTGTAATGTTTACTTAATTGAAGTATGTATTATCTCAAACTTTGCAAGTTTAGGAAAAAATCAAGTGCAGCTAATTTACGTTTCAGTAATGACCAATTTGTTTGTCGATTAATATCAGTTACTCCAAAAAGACAAAACGAATAAACTAAAAATTTGAGTTAAAATAACAAGACGCAAGTGTTTTTGAAAGTAACATATAGGCTGACTTTATTTCAAGGTTGTTTTTGGAGTAGAAGAATTCATTTTTTTGAATTGCCGTCTGGAAAATGCCAAAAAGAGTGCAAACCAAATCTTGTGTGTTTATCGAAAGCTAACAGAGTCTATTTTGAATAATTAAGTCTTCTTTGAGTTTTCAGTAACGTTTTGAGTAAATTTTTCAAGTTTATTTGATAAATCTTACTTAAACATTTTAGCCTCATTCGCAAGCCATTACAGGACCTATCAAAGATATCTATGTACTATGTATCTAATTTAAAAATAGTCTAAGATATCAACTTATGATTCTTTGAATTCCTTTATGTTCCTTATTTTTTGACCTTATTAAATTTTTTTTGGGCGTTGAAAGTTACTTAAAGAGTGTGCTATATACTTTAGTAACGGTCTACTTTTAGAGTATTTTCTTTTCTACAATATTCATATCTACGTATCTCTAACGTTTATTTAAATAAGTTGATGGGAAAAATCAGCGACAAATTTAAATCATGTAGCAAAACCTAAAAACTTCAAAAAGGTAGTTCTTGTTTTAAAATGAAAATGGAAATTAAACAAGACTTTCCTTAAGTCGAAGTTGCATCCTAATTCTAGGAGTCATCAGCCATGAGTAGATGAGCTGAACGAGAGAGAGAGTGCCATGCACGTATGCACTAGTCAGTGTTTAGAGTATTGATATTGGTTTATGACTGAATAACAATTGGATGAGTTGTTTGAGAAAGAGGAAAAAAAGTGAGTATGCTTCCAACTCCTTCACTCCTACTTGATGACTCGCAGAATTACAATCAAACTTTGACTTAAGGTAAGTCTCGTTTAATTCTCTATGGCATAAGCGATGAAAGGTCTCTGCCTATAATAGTATATGATAAGTAAAGAATCGTCAGTGACACAATGCTGTGAAATTGTTGTTGTTTTGAGAAATATTATCTAGAAACATTGCAACTCAAAAGTCGAATTGTATCATATTGCCTGTTTATTCAATATAACAAAACTAAACATGATCTTGATTCATCGACTATACAAACGAAATATCAATAATATGAAATTTCATAAAAAAAGCAACAACTAAAAGCCAAGATATTGTTCAAATGTAGGGTGGCCGGCGAAGTGGCAAATCATGTAAATATTACAATCTACTGCTCTGTAACGGGTTCAATTGGTATTATTTGCATCGCTTATACATCACTCGATTTACTCATCCAGAGTTAGAGTAGTCTAATCAAATGGCGAAAGCAAATAAATTAATTTTGCTTTTGAATATTCTGCGAATTACAAGTATTATTTGTGTGGCTTGCGATTTACTTCTAGTGAAATATGATACGTGTTAAACTATAAACTCCATGATCAGGAAATGCAAAATACTTTCGATCACTTGCAGTAATTGAGCGAAGCGTTTACTATCAAACATTGTTTGCAATAAACCTAAAATCTTTGGAAAAATATAGACTTTTCAAAAACGTAATTAGAAAAAGTAACAAAAAATAACACGATCAGTTGGCTTAAAACACAATTACTAATTTCCTTTATACTTATGTTGAATCATGTCATAAGCACGTCGTGTTTACCGTATTTTTTCGAACAAGCACCGTCCCACAGCTAGCGCTGCCCTCCAATAAACACTGCACGCGCGATGAGAAAAAATTAGCACCGCTGTACTTGTTCGAACAAATACGGTATTCATCGTTAGGGGGAACAAGTTTTCTAAGCGACATCTAAGACACGTCAGAGAACTTTTTTAAAACACAACTATGAAAGAAAATGTTTTCGTTAAACTCTTTAAAAGTCGTGAGAAATCTAAATGACGTTACTTTCCTTGGTGCGATTCTTGCGAGCACATGCATTTATGAGGCGTGTAATCTACGCTAAAACGTTTGAAAATGCAGAAACGATTAAACACTTACTTTGTCATATAACTGGAATAAGTTTTTAAATATTGAACGAGTTCTGTGTAAATGATATTAAATATACAATTTTATTTGAATTATGTTCATTTAACTACTTCATTTAGCCCTAATTTATTTGATAGGCTACCCTATTTTTGCTTTTACATACTTCTGATACGGACGAAAATCTTGTCAAATGCAGAGAAACACTGGTAGAGAATATTCATGAATAAAATTTTGTTTTCTTGTGTTTGTAAGGCCTGCAAAATGGGATAACAAGAGTGAACACCAATGTAGCTCGTGTTTGTGAAATCCATTAAAGAATGTGCTAGAACAATAATACAGATCACAGATATGTATCATATAAAGTAGTATATGTTTAAGTTAAGAACAGACTATCACACAAATTGTCGACAAAGCAATTGGAAATCTAATGAAGTAGGAACTCTTTAACAGTTGACACTACGGATAATCAGGAATAAAATAGATAAAAATTTGACGTGAAAAGTTTGTTTACGCGACATACGATCATCAAGAACCCGTTGCGTTTTGGTTAAACTAAAACACAGCAAACTATCAAACGAGTTAATCATACTTTTTGTAATTCGGAAGTTTGTGTAAATTTTGACTAGAATATAAACTTGTGCATACAAAATACGAAAGATACTTATTCCTGCTGACACATTTGACTGTTTTTGACATCAGTTACAAAATTTTCTTTACATTTGTAAATTCTGTACGCCTCTGAGTTTTAAAAGCACTTAGATTAATCTTGAAGGTCAGTCACAGATAATTTATCAAACATGGATAATGTGGCTTTTCCTTTATTATATCAGTTGTATTGATATCAGAAGAATTGGATGGAAAAAAAAACATTGCAACGAAAATAATTTATTTTTGGCTGTTCAAAACGAAAGAGACTTAGGGAATGTAATTAGCGTAGTAACAGCGAGGAAAGTGCTCTGGACGAGTCCGAGGTTAAAAGAATATTTGCCGGGACATTTCATCAGTAAGTTCAAATATGCATAGTAAATAAGAATCAAAAAACAAAATCATCCTTAATGGAAGCAAAAGAACCTACCATACAATATAAAAAATAATACTTTTTGCTATATCACAATTAACTAATACCTAACAGTTTTCACTGCCAATTTTCAAGGTTTCCGTTAAATGAAACAAGGAAAAAACAATGAATAAAAAATATAACTTGCAAGGATACGTACCTCGGCAAAACCTCTGCTGTGGTTTAGATCATTTTAGGGAGAGTTATATTGTTAGATGTAAAAAAAGAGTGATCTTGAAACAAACTGCAGTGCCAAGACGATTCCAGGAATATTCAGCATAGATGCAAAAGAAACTTCAGCCAGAAAAAAGGCATAATCATCCAGTATTAAGAAAGACGAACAGAGACAATTTTCAGTTGATAGAAAATAAAAACGCAGAAATTAGAAATCTAAACATAGAGGAGGTTTAAAAAATCGGAATCTAAGCATGGACAACCTAGTTTTGAGGAAATAACCTCTTTATGGAAAATTAAACTTAAACTTTTAATGAAGGAGCTTTAAGATTTTATCAATAAGTTTCCAAAAATATTACTTCTCAGTCACGTTTAATATAAAACTTGAAACAACATTTTCTCACGTTGTGAAATTTTCTTAACACGGCCAGGCCAACATTGGACCATGCGCAGTCGTGCTTTAAGTTTGCAAAATCGTTTCCGGTGGCGTCACAGAACAATCGCATCTTAAATCTCAAGTTTGCCAAATGTGTTATTCAAAGTGCAGTACAAAGTACTGAGTTTTTTTGAAAAAGATAAAAGAAGCTGAAGAGGACTGCTATTTAGCGCTCCTGAATCATTGTAACACTCCTAGAGATGAAGTTTTGGGAAGTCCAACACAAAAACTTACGACAAGACGTATTAAAACGAAGATATCACTTAAAGAAAAACAGTTACAGCTTCAGTCGATAGATACAAAAGTTATATAAGAACGTTTACGACATTACAGAGAACAACAAGCAAACATTATAATCATACGGCGAAAGTTTTGCAACCATTAAAAACAGGTGACAGCGTTGGAACACAAAATAAAGAGAGATTTGGACAGAATGGTAGAATTCTTCGTAAATCTGATCATCCACGATCATACATTGTTCAATCAGGTAATCGAGAGTACAGACGGAATCGATAAAAGATCATAAAAGTTGAAGAACAACCACAATCGTCAACTAATGTCGAGCCTGAAAACTAAGAACAAACAAGAGAAGAAGATACACACATCACCAGTGATAACAACATAGGAAATGAAATAGTTTTGCGAAAAACGAGATCGAAACGCATTGTAAAAGCACGCGAAAACTTAATATAAAAAAACTATTTAAACCATTAGAACAATAAAAAGTCGATGACAATTAGAAAATATAAAATTTTTAAAAACTAGACCTTGAAAGTTGTAACAAGAATTAATTAGTACAATAGTTTAGAGTAAAGAACATATTTTATAGCTAGGTTAACGTATCGAAGTAACTCATAATCTTGTCTTAGGATCATTATTAAAAAACTGGCAATAAATAAAGAACAAATCCTACATTAAAATTGCTAATTTGTTGTATAGTTGAAGCTCATTGCTTTCGACATGATCATTCTATAACATTGAAAATAATTTATGTACCTCAACTATTTAAGTATATCAGATTATTTTCTACTAAACTTGTGTTAGTGTTTTGGCTAATAGAATTTGTGTTTACATTTCTTGTTCTATTGCCCTGATTGCAAATGAAAATCTTTACACCATACGGTGCCACCACACCAGCATAAATTTATGTAAAATTGCTTCTTACTCTGCTAAGCAGCCCTTAATCAAATCATTGCAAAAGGAAGGGCATTTACTTCAAAAGAAATTGCTTCTGTCATGTGCTTCTATGATTTTGCATTTTTTATTTTTGAATAAATTTGTAATCAAGCAGCAATAATGGAAGAAGCCGTGCGGAATTCTCAAAGCTATACGTTTTTAACAATAATATGTGTGTTTGTATTAGCAAAACGTGAAAAAAAACTCCGAAATTTTTTTTTTTATTCGATTTATTCATAGCAGTATTTTCTATGCTCTGCCCTCAAATTGCATGAAAACGTTTTTCTCACAGTTAAAATTTAAAAGTTTTCTTGGGTGAAATTCCTCCCAGACCCCCTAGTGGTGGCTTTTGCCTTCGTTGCTTGCCGTGAAACCGTCACAATTTCAGCTGAATCTGCTCCTAATATTAATAACAATGCCAATCACTAAATGTTATAAGAATGTTATTACTGACTATATGAATGGCATTATCAATCACTGGGATGGCAACACCATTGTCTAAATGATTGTATGAATGTCAATGCCAGTTAATAAATGGCTACCAAATTACTTCATATTCAACCCAATAGCTTGAGACAATATTGTGTAAAATTTAATTGATACACCATGATGACAGTGGAAAAGCGGAGTTGCAGCTAGTTTTAATATATTTTGTGGTGAGTGTGTTACCTTTTGCATAATATTATCTGCAAAAAACACTTCATTCCAAAGGAGCCCCACTATGACAAAATATAGTGGAATACTGTATTTTATAACAAAGCTGCACTTATCAATATGTGATGCAGGTGTGCCTTTAGTATTTGCTATTATTTGCTACAATTAAAGCAGGATTACAATTTATACGCGAAATTGATACTAAGATGAATGTACTGCATGGGATTGTGAAACAAAACTTTGTACCCAGAGTAGACGCTAGAGCTAGCGTCTTCTTACTGTTACACTCGCTTACAGAATTATAATAATGCAATCGGATCTTCGCTCTACCATGTTCTCTTATCTCTCTGAAAGTTGTAAAATTGCCGGTATAAACTGTTTATTTTCAAGTGTGGTCTTGCACAATCCACGCGTTATCATAACTGTTAATTGTAGAGTCACCTTTTCCCATGCTTAGTGAGTGTAACTTAAAATTCTTGTTATAGTTATTTGCATAAAGATAGCATTTTCGCATAATATAAGATTGCTTGGATTAAATATTTCAGCAAAAATCGCCGTGTAAACAAAATGACTTTCTCATTGAGAGTAATATATAAGAGTAAATTATATATTATAGTGTGAGTGAACGACCTTTTAGAATATAACAATAATAAGTTACAAAACATGTGTGTTTTACATAATATAAATCAGTTGTATACTCTCTCTGTTGATGGCTTTGGAATAAAATGTGTGTTTTAATTTTGTAGTATTCAAAAAAGCTGAGGAATGGAAGATTACGACATCAGGTAGAACACTTGTATTTCAAGCTATAAATTTTAATTTTTATGCGCCGGCAATTATTTCATACATCCTTCGTTGTATTACTGTCAGATATCATATTTAACGGTATAAAGGTACGTTTACGCACAACGTGTTCTTGCCATCTTTGGAAGTCGCTCGACTCGAAAAATTGGATGAAAATGTGTAGAAAATTTTAGATTCTCTTTTAATTTTTACTATGTTGCTATTGCATGAGAAACAAGCAAATTATGATCATTTCAAAATAATGACTGAAATGTCTTCTCTCAACACGGGAAAAGAAAATGTAGAGAGCGTTTTTGTTTTTATCAAAATCCAAAATCTGCAGCGATTCAGAAAATGAAAAAAGTCACGATTGTTTTCAACGAAAGAAATACGGCAAATTTACCTCGAGTTTATCTCTAACCCACACTGATCTTTATTTTCTTTTTTCTTTGTTTTTAACAAATTAATAATGATAGACATTGCTTTGATCGTACCTACAACGACATGTTTTAGTATTGCTTTGCTATCTTTCTTTGACCTGTTTGTTTTCTTTTATGGTTTTTGAAATCTCGTAAATATATCGGATGCATTATTTACATACAGCGACTTGTCTTCCATGACAAACTTTATTTTATTATATAAAACAAATAGATCACATTTAGCTGTTGTCTATACAGTTAAAAATACACGGTTAAACGTCGATTGTGATAAAAACTAAAAAAGTAGCCACGAGCCACCGGAAGAATTTATCACAAATAACGTTATACCCGTGTATCTATAACTTTGTAGACAACAGTTAAATGTTATCTTTTCGTTAAATATTCTCATTTTACTAAAATTTTGAGACCATGCATGTTGGAGATAGCTGTCTTTCTTTTGAGAAAAACGAGAGAAATCTTAAAAGCCCGTTCTGACTCTACCACAGCTTACTTTTTTGTGCTATCTTAAAAAAATATTTTTCAGGTTTTGCATTTCAAGATGAGTTAATTCGGAAATTGTTAAAAGAAGTTCACGGACCCATAAATGATACAGGTATCAGACATATATCATCGAATTATTGCTTTGATTGAGTTTCACGAGGCTAACATGACTTATTTTATAAGTTTATTGCGAGTACGAGCACAAAGTCTTTACGTTTTAAAATAAGCTTTCATCTAGAGTAAAAAAAAATGTTTTGCCGTATAAAGCGTTAATGTTGCACAAACGTAATTTCTAACTTACTAAATGCCATAACACTGTAAAATGTTTGGCATAATCCACGTTTGTCAGAACTGTGAAAGATGTTGTTTGGAATAGCACAATCCATTGCTGATCTTAACTAAGTAAAAAAACGTCGCTTGACAATGTTGAAAAAATGCAGGAAATTACCATTTTCTTTATTAAAACATCCATTACAAATTTCAATCTGTAAAACAAATTTAATTTGAAGGGTTCTCACAAAATTTGGGTCAATTAGCCAAGTTTTGTACCTGTAAGCTAATTACATGAAATATTAGTAAACACCAGCTGTAAATCATTAAGGAAGCATATTCATACAAATCACATATAGAGCTACTTTAACTACATAATTACTTCCAAAATTTAGCTAAGTTAAAACCTAGGGAAAACAGGCATAGTATCAAAAGTTATACGTGGAAGGGGGCTCCTTGAGTGGTAGAGCTGGTGGTGCTTTTATACAAATTAAGACGACATTATTTAATAAATGGCTCGGAAAGAAATTGCAGATTGCACATTCGTTAAGTCAATTTATTTATGTTTGTTGCAACTTTGTCACTTACATATTTTTTATCTATTTTGATTGTTTGTCAAAAACGTTCAAACATTGCTTTGAAATTTACCATTGAAATATCCTGCAAATTTACAGAATCGCCCCCACCCCCCAAAAAATGGAACAAATATAACATTTATTACTTATTTTTCTAAAGTTAGGTTATACCTCATAAAGTTTTGGTGTTCGGACAAAGCAGCATATGTTAGCTTTTATATTATTGTACGATTGAAAATTGATTTGCTGTCTTCCAGCAAATGAAAAACATCTTTCGAATAACATTCACTCTGCTAACTTATATTATGCTAATCTCTATAGTTTCATATGTGTTAAAAGATGTCTTTCGAAGTTACATTTGTACAACTCATAAAGTTTGTACAAATTAAGTCGACTAATCCTGCTCACTGAAATATTTGATTTTTTCTGTTATATAAGTGCTAACTCACTATTTAGAGATGACGTTAACTTTAATTTATCGGTATAAATGTCGTGTGATTTTATTCTCATTTATTAGCAGCCATTGACGTCTGGTGAGTAGTCTGTCGAAATACTTCTTTTTTTAGCTTTAAGACTATGTTCTTAGAACTGTTCTGTTTGGTAACAAACAGTTTTTTTAAGAAATATTACGTGATTGTTTGATCATTCACATGGTATCTGTTATTTTCAAAACAGTTTTAATTTACATTTTTTACAACAACAAAGTCTCCCTTCTTTTTACTCTTTAACGACAATTTCTTTAAAATAACTATTTTCTTTTTAAATATACTATATTATTTTAGATATCAGGCAATTACATCTTATGTACGATCATTACCTTTTAATAAATACTCCCACCTTATAAAGTGGGAGTCATATGCTTTTTCGTTTCCACACAGAGTCAATAGCAAGGCTTTTTTCTTTTTATCTCTCACTACGTTTGACTCCTTTTACTTTCTTCTGTCATCTTCCCTCATCGGAGCTAAACGCAGTAGGATAAAGTTTTCGGAGAGAGAGATTAAGATGAACGATTTTTTCATTATCATGCAAACTTAACTTTGCTCTTCTAACTACATTATATTGCACATAACCTAATTAATGCATGACACTTATTATTAAGATTTTTCTTTTCACATTTTATTTGTTGTTAACCACGACATCACTCTTTTCGGCTACCCTTAAATTAATTTATCTTTACGAAACTTCCATAATAAAAGCAAATACTGTCTACACGCATTTTAATTCAAAAGTACAGTTTTCCCTTACCCAATTATTTATAGCTATTCTTACAATATTTTCCATAATATATTTCTTCCTCAACTACATGGTCTAGCTCTGATAAATACCTCCGCCACATTGCCAAGAGCGGTGTAGTCAACGGCTCACTTACAACGTCATCATACAAATACTTTGGTGGCAAAAATTTGTCCTGTAATTATTATAATTTAGTATCTGTTGCCTTAAAAAATGTGTTGTAAGATGCTTAAGATCAATTTTCGATCAATGGCTTCCCCATCTTTCCGAAAAATTCAAAAAAGAGATCGAAAATTCATTTGAAGAATGGTCCTTAACAGGATCCCAATTTAAAGTCCTAGTAAAAAGGCATGAAAGAAAAAGCAAAATACAGTTTATATGCTCCATTACACGTATTTTTAACATAATGTGGTCTGAAAAAATACATCCCTGTATTAAATTATAGTTATGGTTGACTTAACTAAACTTTGGCACAATTAATTCGCTTTTGTCGTTATGTTGTCTTTTCGACCTTTTAAAGTGTTACTGAAGTGAAATTTTTGGAGTCAATTTTTTCAATAAACAAATTGGCCAATGATTCCTGGTTACGTTGGTATGACTTTTATGAAACTTCTAGGACGGCATCATCAAGAATTTTTTGCTCAAATTTGCGTTATGCGTGCTAAATTTAATTCTGAAATGTTATACTGATGTGATGTAGTTGAAATGTTATACTTGTGTCGATGGAAGTCAAAGTATTAGCGTTAATGTATTAGTATTTTTTCGATGTTTTTCACATATTCCCGATAAAATATGAGTTCCTCAAGCATTGAAAGCGAACAAAGTTAAATTACTGAAACTCTGATGTAGCAAGTAGAAATTTACTTTACACTTCCCGGCGATGATGAAACAATAGTTGCTAACTCAACAGTGAATTCGTACTAGATAGAACCTTCAATGAACCTAGTGGAGAGAGTTGTAGGTCGATGAAGACGTAGATAGCTGAAGGGACCATTTAGTTACATAAGTGGTAAATTGATGAATGCATTTAGACGAATTTTTAAATGTTATTTTTTGTGCATGTCGTGGTACGTAAATACAATGAAAAACTGCTTATTTTATAACTATAAAATAGTAGCTTGTGTCGTACTCAACTGCTGAATGATTCCATTTAATACCGTTGTTGTAAAGAGGTTGGGTCTACTTTACATAAACTAATATTTGATGGCAGCATGGAAGAATTCAGCTGTGTTACTCTTTACAAAGAGTACACCGTCATGACATATGGCACTGTTTTGAAAAATGTTGGCCTACTTCTGAAATCCCAAAACGAAAGTCAAATTCGCATCAAGACAATTAAAAAAGCCATGTTTGAAAGCAAATTTCGATGGATTTCCGTTGAACAATTTCAGTTTGTGCCAGCCATAGATATAATAGGACTAGATTGCTGACGAGTGTGACGTAATATTAGATTTATTAAGACGGCAGCGTGACATTCATGATAAATCCAAGATGGCGCGGTAACTGGGCAAAAAACTTGGGGCTACTATTAGGCAATTGTTGTTTTTTGCAGTTTACTTCGTTTCAGTGTTTTCAAACTCCTCCAATCAAGTTTTATTGGAAACAAAGCGATATTAATAATGTTTTGAAGCCATATTGGACAATTATTATTGGAATACGTGCGAAAATATCGCTTGCGAAGTGTTGTGTAAATTCGTCGTTTGGTTGTCTCCAGGCGTTTGTCTACCAAAATAAACGGATTTCGTCTGCTTTACCTCCCATACTGGCTCGTCCACGTTGAAATACATCATATTGAATACATACAAAAAGATGGGAAAATTAATCTTCATATTTTTTACATAAAGTTCACTTCAAGATGCTATTCGTTCTTTCAATCTTCAAACATGTGTTGACACTTAACAGACAGAGTCTTTATCGTTTCCAAAAAGGATGAGTTTTGTCAGCTTTTGCCGCTTAGATGAAGCTCCTTTACGAACACTGGTGTACAACTATTTTACTGTACATGTATGCTATTTTTCTGATGAGGATGGTGATATGGTCATCACAAAATCACTATGGTCATCGCATGAACCAACTGAGCAGTATGATACAATTTTGTCAGAAATCATTAGCTGCATGTTAATAATGTGATGCAATTTAGACATTTGTAGTTATAAAATTGTATTGCCATTGGAAACAACTGGTATCATAGATGGTGTTATAGCTATAGCATAATAAAACATATACTATAACTAAGTATGATAAGCATAAAAGTCACATATATTTTATTCACAGCTATATCTTATAATAATCTCAGCCATAGCCAGCATTTTTATTTGGTCATGCTATTCCAATGTTGCTGTGTTCACTCACTGTAAAAACAATAGATTTCTAATGAAATAAGCAATCATGCAGTGAAATTTATACATTCATTCTGGATATGCCACCGATGACATCCATATCAAATATTTCATAAGATAATATATAAATTTAATGAACACCTTAGCTCTGGTAAAAAAATACTTCATACAGAGCTTCATAACTCTCTCAAAAAATAGTATTGTAACAGTATCTTGGGTTATGTGTTTGAATGTTATTATGTCAGATTTTGAAATAACCACTGGTAATATAACAAGCTTCTGAACATAAGTTCCTTCTCTTTCGTTGAACCACTTAGCTGTAAGATCTCATCAGTATAGCCAATGCTCCTGGATACAATTACTTGAGATGAGGTAAATTTCCTTCAGTTAAGTTTACTAACTTTAATAACTTCACTAAGATCTTGTCAGTAGATAATAGTGCTGCAGTGTTATGTATCTCCTTGCTCCTCTTTTCATTCATTCAAAGTCGGATGGTCTATCTAAACCGTGTTTGAATCTCACATATCAGTACGAGTACAGTGGGAGTGCTTTCTCGAATAAGTCGCTTTTTTGTCAGAAATATTCAGATTGATTCCCCAATCTTTCTGTAAATTGTCAATATGATATATTCCGATGCGCAACAAATCAGTATGGGAGTTAAAGCTGAAAAAATCTGTTTCTCTTAGTGGACAAAC